AACTCATTTGGAGAGATTGATGGAGTTATTGATGCTTTGGAGACAGTCCCTAGGCATTTTTTAAAATGCTGGGGTCAGACTGATGTGTGTATATATAATGATAATCGGGGCTAAACAGTCTTTTCTTTTTATAATTTATATTTGGAGACACTTTTCCTACTCGCGTACTGCCTCTGACCCCTTGCTGTCTGACCTCACAAAATGCCTTAATTTTAGCTCAGTTTACTGTGAAATGCAATGTTTGGATCTTCTAGGAATTTTCTAAGATCACTCCTTAAACAGTTTACGGCACTTAAAAAAACACTAGGAAGCAATAAACTGGACGTTCACTGCAGAAAGTCCCTCCTTGTGAGAGTCCGTGTGCTCTCAATAAACAGCCACCTCTCTTCACCGTCCCTCTGACCCAGAAACGCAGTAAAACAGGGCAAGCCCTAGCTGCCAAGGGCTTTGCTAATCCATAAACTAAAATAGAACTGATTCACCAGCTAATTCCATGATAAGAAGGCATTCAAGTTTGCAAGCCGCCGGAATTGAATCAGAACTAAAATACAAAAAATCAGTTACCTAGTGGAATCGAGTGATCTGCTCAGCGATACATTCTTGTAGCGCGTCGCCCCACATCGTTTCCGTCCGTGAGAAGTGTGCTGTGTGTGCGAAACGGCGCCACGTGGGGAGGAATGAGGGTGGTTTGCGGCACCAGGACTAACGGGATTGTTTTACATAGTTTCATGTCTTGGGGCAAGAGGCGTGTGTGGGCAAGCTCGGGCTTCCGGTCCTGCTGAGCGTGTCCTCTGTGCCTTCGGGCGGAGCATGGCCTTGTCCAGGGTCCCGCTGCCAGGTGGCCTGAAGGGATCAAGAACAGGGAGGCTGGCGGGCAGCGATGCTTCATCGAGTGACCTGACGGCTGACCAGGCTCCAGAGAGCCCCTTCCCTGCTCAGAACCGCTCTCTCTTCTTTAGGCCTGTGCCCATCGCTGGAAGAACATCTACTACGAAACAGACCACATCCTGCCCCACGGCTTCTGTTACGTGATCCCGTCCAACCTCCAGGCCAAAGGCAGGACGCTGATCCCTTGCTATGAAGGTGAGTACTCTTTTTTTAAAAAAAATACGTCTTTATTGATTTCCGAGAGAGAAGAAGGNCGGCTGACCAGGCTCCAGAGAGCCCCTTCCCTGCTCAGAACCGCTCTCTCTTCTTTAGGCCTGTGCCCATCGCTGGAAGAACATCTACTACGAAACAGACCACATCCTGCCCCACGGCTTCTGTTACGTGATCCCGTCCAACCTCCAGGCCAAAGGCAGGACGCTGATCCCTTGCTATGAAGGTGAGTACTCTTTTTTTAAAAAAAATACGTCTTTATTGATTTCCGAGAGAGAAGAAGGGAGGGAGAGAGAAACATCAATGATGAGAGAGTCGTCATTGATCGGCTGCCTCCTGCACACCCCCTACTGGGGATTGAGTTAATATTTGTTAGTTCTTAGAACAGTGCCTGGCATATACTGATATACTAAATACTAAGCATATATAGGCTGATACACCACATTATGGGCGAATGTTCTATATACCAAGCAAGTGTTTGTTAATCTCACCACGGGGTGACGAATTTGTCTACCAGGAATAGAGTCCACATAAGCATATTAAGTAGTGTTAGACACTGTGCTAAGAAAAAACCCAAGTCTCAGCTCTGAAGTTCCCCATCTACAGGGGAGAAAGAGAGGGAACACGATGCTTCAAAAGTGGGAGAACTGTGTGTGGGGTGGGGAATCCCATGCCAGTGTCCGCTGGGTACCTCTCCCCAAGCCCACGCTGCATCCAAGTTGAAGGTGGCACTAGGGAAGAATTATTTTGTTTTACAACTGGAAGAACTGAGACCTGTGTGGAGTCTGCTGTCTGTTGGGGCCCACAGAAGAGGAATGGTGGGGATCCATACTTGGTCATGGTGGAGGGTGCAAGACAGGAGACATGGGTGCACTTCTGTGGAAAGACCACGGAAGGGGGTGGGGTGCTTGTTCAGACCTGCTCTTCAATGCTGCTGTCTTCATGGCTGTCTGTGGCTGGACCGACAGTGGGACCTGGTGCTGTGATGGCTCCATTGCATTTACTTCTCAGGGTTATTTTGGGGTGGAAGGGATCATGAGAAAACTCAGGTGAAAGTACTCAGAAAGACCATACGTTGTCCTGTAGTTGTGGCCTTACTGTGGGTCCCCTTGAGGCTTCGCTGTGCTCTCTTCAGAATGGAGCAAGGTTGGTTTAATTAAGGAAAGCCTCTGAGTGTGTGGGCACTTCTCCAAATGCCTCAAACTTTTGCATTCTTAAAAAATTGGTCTTTGGTTTGGCACACGGGCTTTTTTCTCATGACTTTTCAGGTGCTTCCTGTTTCTGGTTTGGTGAGAAATGCTATCAGAATATTCCTGTTTGGAACCAGGAAATGTAGAGGGAATGGGAAACAGAAATGAATTTAGGACAAACTAAAATAAATGAGTGGAGCACACCCTTAAGTCAAACCACTTAGTTTATGTTCGATGTGAGAACAGCATCTTCACGGCCATATGTTGTTGGTTTTATCAGAATCTGTGAGAAACTGAGAGGTTTGGTGGGATGACATATGGGGAAAACTTTGTAACTGGAAGAACAAGCACTATAAAATATTAGGATTCCCAAAAGTTGTCAGTGCATTGATAAAATCAAACACAGATTTCTTTCATCCTTTGTCCTTGAACCCATAGAGACAAGAAGCCGGCTTGGCCAGAATGGGGCTGTAAATGAGTAATCCTTTTATTGTGATAGAGCAGCCTCACTAATATGGAATAATTTGGGAGCAGCTCAGCTACATTAATAAAAAGTGTTCCAGATAAAACACTGGCAAAGAAATGCAATTAGGGTGCCATTGTATATTAGATCTAATTTCAGAATCTGGCTTTACCACTGACTTATTCCTATGATTTAACCCATAGCTCCTACATTCTAACTGGGTGACTTTGGGCAAACCCCTTGAGCCTCAGTGCCCTCATCTGTAAAATGGGGGAGACCAAGCCCTACTTAAGAGGCATTTGAGTATATAATGTGCTTAACACAGTTGGTAGCTCAGAGCGAACACTCAGTAAATGTGAATTTTCTAATTATCTTTAAGTACCATAATAGTATTCTTAAATATTCTCAAAAGGTATCTAGCAGATTCTGCTTTAAAGAATAGATAATGGAGGTTAGAAGGCTGGGTATTACTAAAATGATGTTAAGACTTCTTGAAAAGATGATCATTTCTTAAGTACTTTGAAGATCATATTTGCACAATTGATTTGCTTGTTAAACTCTCTTCTCTTTTTGTAGACAGTCTAACGTTTAACTCATACCATGTTTAAATGTTCTAAAGTAAGGAATTGTTGGGGTTGAATTTATCAAATTTTACCATGCTTTAAAATGATCCCATTGATTCCAAAGATTTCTGTACCACTTTCTTTATTAACAGGGGTTGGCTGGCCTTTTAGTCCCAATTTCTTTTGCATCTCCAAAGACAGTGATTATTTCTAGGGAAGGAAATAGATCACCCATTCAGATGTGGAGATTTTTTAATTCCCCCTTCTAATGTTGGAGGCTATGGCTCCACAGGGGATAAAAATCAATCAAGAGCCATTTACAAATGAAAAGCAATTGAGGTTTTGTTCTGTTTTGTTGTGTTTTGTTTTGGAGAGAACCATAAAAGTCTAAGTTGATCCATTTAAAAATTTAAGAACAAACCCCCGTAAATTTTTATTAAATAAGAACTCTACATTTACATAGGTTTTTATGGTTTCCAAAGAGCTTTCATAAACATTATCTCATTTAAGTAAATATAGCAAATTTTTAAAATGTGGATGCAGTTAGTCTTATGAATACCACTAGCTCCATCCTGACAGCTCCCCGAGACCCCTGCCCCATCCAACTCACGCATTGTTTGAGGCTTTTTTGGCGCCAGCCAGCCTGGGCCCTCTTGCAGTCTTTCTTAAAAAACTCTTGAGAAATTCTGGTCAATCTGGGGTGATGCCAGAGACATACAGGGAGAAACTGAGTTTTGTGGCTTCAGGGCAAGGGCTGGAGGGATGGCTGCCATTGTCCCTGTGTTGGCATGGCTGAAGGGTGCCATCTTTCCAGTGTTGAGCCCTCCTGTTCCCCCCATGGCCAAATCTGAATCTGCATTAACCTGGTAAACACCACTCAGCCCACATTGTTGACTCCCTTAAACCTGCTTCATTCAACTCACATACCATGCAAGGCTCTTCCAGTGGCTGAGCCTAATGGGTGGCTGGCAGGCTGTGGGAGGTCTCAGGGTGCCTGGTGCCCTTTACTGACCTGCCACAGGCCCAGTACTGGTGGCAGCTGGCCTCAGGTTGCAGCATGGCCTCTCCCATGCACATCCTGGCCCAGCACAGGCAGCTGCCAACTGCAGATCACTTTGTAGCTCCTAATAGGTAGTCTCAGAGTGGTCACAGGCAGTGTCTGACATTGGCCCCTCCCAAGAAGCCCCAGAACCAACATACTTGATGGCTGGCTACAGACCACAACAAAGCACCACCAGATTAGCTCCACAAGGGGCACACCCAAAGGATAGTCTCAGTAGGCACCAGACCCAGCTGGGGCAAATCCTGCACGATGGGGTCATGGCCAGTCCTCAGAGCTAGGGTCAGTCCTATCTACTGATGTGCTAACAGCAATCACGGCACAACTACAACAGGAGGACCCACAAAACCCACACAAAGGACATTCCTGGAGCACCCAGCTCAGGTCGCCAGGGAGACTGGGCCCCACAGGACATTTACTCCGTAAGACCACCCTTCCAAGACTGGGAGATGTAGCAAATATACCTAGTATGTAGAAACAAACACAGAGAAGCAGCCAAAATACAGAGATGAAAAACATGTCCCAATGAAAGAACAGAAGAAATCTCCAGAGAAAGAACTAAGTGAAATGGAGGCAAGCAGTTTACCAGATACAGAGTTCAAAACACTAGTTATAAAGATGCCCAGGGAACTTAGTGAGAACTTCAACAAAGAGATAGTAAGCATTAAAAAGGACAGAAGCCATAAAAAAATAACCCGTCGGAAATGAAGAATACAATAATTGAAATGAAGAACACACTAGAAGAAATCAACAACAGGTTGGATGACGCAGAGGATCAGATCAGCTATTTGGAAGACAAGGTAGCAGAAAACACCCAATCAGAACAGCAAAAAGAAAAAAAGAATAAAAAGTGAGAATAGTTTAAGGGATCTCTGTTACAACATCAAGCATAACAACATTTGCATCATAATGTCGCTAGAAGGAGAAGAGAGAGAGCAAGGGACTGAGAACATATTTTAAGAAATAATGACTAAAATCTTTCCTCACCTGGGGAAGGAAATAGACATACAAGTGCAGGAAATGCAGAGAGTTCCAAACAAGGTGAACCCAAAGAAACCCACACCAAGACACATCATAAGGAACATGGCAAAGGTTAAAGGCAAAGAGGGAATCTTAAAAGCAGCAAGAGAGACAGTTACCTACAACGGAACTCCCATAAGACTCAGCTGATTTCTAAACAGAAAGTGTTGAGGCCAGAACGGATTGCCACAAAGGATTCAAAGTATTGAAAAGCAAGGACCTACAACCAAGACTACTTTACCCAGCAAGGCTATCATTTAAAATGAAAGGAAATATGAAGAGCTTCCCAGATAAGAAAAAGCTCAAGGAGTTCATCATCACCAAAACAGAATTATAAGAAATGTTAAAGGGACTTCTTTAAGAAGAGAAGGGGGGAAAAAAAGAACCTAAGTATGAACAATAAAATGGCATTAACAATGTACCTATCAAAATACCAATTGAATTTTTTACAGAACTAGAACAAATCCAAGAATTTATATGGAACCACAAAAGACCCCAAAGAGCCACAATAATCTGGAGAAAGAAGAATAAAGTTGAAGGTATCATGCTACCTGATATCAAACGGTACAATAAAACAGCATGGTACTGGCATAAAAACAGACACATAAATCAAAGGAACAGGATAAAGAGCCCAGATATAAACCAACATCTGTATGGTTAGTTAGTATATGACAAAGGAGGCAAGAGTGTACAATTAGGGTATAGACAGTTTCATCAACAAATGGTGTTGGAAAAATTGGACAGATTCATGGAAAAAAATGAAACTAGACCACCTTCTTAACACTGTATAAAAGAATCAACTCAAAATGGATTAAAGACTTAAATGTAAAACCCCAAACCGTAAACTTCCTATAAAAAACATAGGTAGTAAACTCTCTAAGGTTGTTCTTAGTAATATTTTTTCCGATGTATCTCATCGGGCAAAGGAAA